AAATTTACTCGCGTCCGAACGATATACATATTCACCCTCAATTTGCGAGGGGTTGTTTGTCTCCGTATGGGGTATGCAGTACACAAAGATATAATAACAATATATCGTTCGTGGGTAGGTTTTGAATTATAATTTATAGCGTGTTATGCGTACTGTAATTTTCCCATTTCCGCTACTCGTTTATGAGCGTTAAGTGTAGGTATACTCGATCGCTTTAATTTGCATGGAAACGTATAAACAAATTACCGCGAACACTTATTTAAGTAAATGATCCGTGTCAGTTATGAACGATTAACATTTTAGTTGGTATTTCGGGTTTGAAGCTGCGTTGAACACGATCCAAAACTAATATTTAAATGTGGACACCAAAGTATGCGTAAAAACGCAGGTAAAAGATGCAATGTTCCGAAACATTGATAAACAAATAATTAACCCACAGTAATAATTTGGTTAAGAGTTGCGTAAATACTCACTGTCTTTCTGTCCGTGACTCAGATCCAACTCGAGGCTTCCTTCTGAATCCGTATCTCTTGTAATTTGAACATGGGGATGGATGTAAGTTTGCGTTGTAGCCCAGGGTAGTGGGGGTGGTCTTCGTGGTACCGTATCACTAATTAAAGCTTCTATTGAAAAGGGTTTTGGTACCGGTTTTATTAACGAATCGGTACTAGAAACCTGCCTTAACATTGTTCTATTTGCGGACATATCCATGGCACACTTTGTCAATTTAATGTTGTACTAGCACATTATGATATTGTGCGATCCTTTTGCATTTTAGGGCGACGACAAAAATATCTTACGTGCATGTTCATTTTGTGCATTTTCTTCGGTCTGAAACAATAAGAGAATAATATATTAATATAAACATGTATATTTTTGGTTGTCTTTCACTATCATTCTATATACAGGGTGGTGACTTGCGTAACGCATCATAGGGAAAGGGATTTCAATGTAAAATTCATAACATGCGATTATTGGCTCCCCAAATTATTTTAGAGCGAAAATGTATTAAGGTTTTAAGTAGAAAAAAATTTTTTACGCCAATCAACCGTATTAGTTTTCAATTTTTTTCATATAAAGACGGAAAATTGGAAAAATAAAACCCGCTTCTTCAATAATCTGGGATGCCATGGAATTTTCTAAAACAAAATGATATCCAGTTATCCATTAGCAGCAATTCGAAATGGATTTTATGATCAACTTGATTACCGTCTTGCAGTTAATGGTAACTTATTCGCACATTTATTGTAAATTGTTATATTAGGAAACCGTTTTTAGTAATTTGGTCTTTCTTTATGTTGAATTCGCTATTCTAAATATAATACGTTTTGATAGAATTTGATTTGTTTTATAGCAGACATTCCATGGCATGACGGATATTGGCGTAGTTTTTGTATTATAAAATTCCATGGCATCACAGATTATTGGAAAAAATGGGGGTTTTATAATTTTGCGTCTTCATTATGCTAAAAATTGAAAACTAATACGGTCGATTGACGTAAAAAATTTTTTTCTACAAAAAACCTTAATACATTTTCGCTCTAAAATAATTTGGGGAGCCAATAATCGCATGTTATGAATTTTACATTGAAATCCCTATGATGCGTTACGCAAGTCACCACCCTGTATATATAAATCTATAACATTTCTGATACCCACTTCGTTTGCGATTTGTGAGATCATCCGTTTGGGGGATATCATCAGAAGGCGAATAAAAAGGTTTTTATTCAATGGTTGAACCCTTCATTTTTAAATAAAAACAAATTTTATTGTTAACTTTTCCCTAAAAAATTAGTTCTAAATTCACTTTTATGAGAAATACCTATTTATAGCCATGTAACCATGAGTACTTATCCCAAAAAATATTTAATTTACTGCCTGTAAATTTTCAAATGTATAGCAAAAAACAATTAAAAACAATAATTAAGAAATACCTACTACTAGATAATGCCTAATTGTTTAAACCTATTAAATAAAAAAAAACAACAGTGTTCAACGAGGTCCCAAGTCGTGAGATCTCGGTTCTTAAACCCTCGGACGGCAGGACTTTAAATCTACAACCTACAAATATTTTCAACGAAATTGCAATTGCTGCACAGGGTTGATGAATTAAACATGTTGTTAACTTTGTAAGGTTTGATTTATTAAAATTGACCATTAGTTTTAAAACACCCTGTAGAAGGGTGATCAAAATTTCAATCATTCTCATGTAGCATTATAAGTCAGTAGGTATTGCTGATTTTAAAAGACTTTTAAATTCAAGTCAACAATTTTGCAAAATCTTGAGTAACTTAAAACCTTCGATGCTGGGTATAGGGAAATGTGGCATCAAACGACGTATATTTTCATGTAGACTTGCAATAATGCAATAAAATATAAGGTGTTTCTTTTTAAAATAAGAAAGTTGCTATCCACATCTTGTAAAACCGGTAGTTAAACGATCATAATATTTTCTTTCGATAGATCATAAAAAACTGTGTTGGTATCAAATTTTCAGATTTAAATTATCTATTAATAGGAGTCTGAATACTTTTAGGTACCGATTTGCGTGAAACAGCCTGTACATTATTGCATATTTCGATTCCTTGGTCAATTTTAGTTGGACTTTATGTATTACATAATATACCTATACCTATACAAAGACACCTCGTTAACGGACGCCAGAAGCATTGCGGACGCCTTTGCATCCTTCTTCGAGTCAGCCTACACTATGGAGAGGAACGATGACCCGGAAGATGACGTGGAATCGGACCTGGTGCTATCCAAATTGCACTTGACTCAGTTACATGAATCCGAGATACTGGAAGCAATTGAAAAATTGAAACCGAGGTCGGCTATAGGCGAAGATGGAATCCCACCCTACATCGTGAAAGGATGTGCATCTTTACTGGTAACCCCCTTACAACATCTATTTAATTTAGCTTTGCAAACATGTACATTCCCTGAAGCTTGGAAATGCACCAGAATAACACCAATTCACAAAAGTGGAAGCCGAAAATTAGTTGAGAATTATCGCTCAATTGCAATTATACCAGCAATAGCGAAAATTTTCGAAAGAGTGATCTATACTAGACTTTATTCCCATCTCAGCAGTATAATTGCAGATCAACAGCACGGTTTCACGCGGAACAGATCAACGATTACAAATTTAATGCAGTTTACGCAATTCTCAGCAGGAGCCTTGGATGAGAGAGCCCAGGTGGACTGTGTTTATACAGATTTTGCGAAGGCATTTGATACAGTATCCCATCAAGTCTTGCTCCGTAAACTTGTTTTAAATTGCGTAAGTAATCCGACCGTCAAATTCTTGAAATCATATTTATCTCTCCGTAAAACAAGAGGGAAATTCAATGGTGTGAATTCAGCCGAATTTTATCCCTCATCAGGCGTTCCCCAGGGAACACTTCTTGGTCCTTTTCTGTTTCTCTTATACATAAATGATTTACCGCGAGTGATAAAAAAACTCGAAAGCACTACTATTTGCGGACGACCTAAAACTTTTTAATAAAGTCCAATCCCCAAGTGACTGTTTAAATATTCAAGAGGACATTAACTCAGTAATTAAGTGGTGTATCAAAAATAAACTAAAACTAAAT